ATGGGGGAGGTTTGGGGGGGTGGATAGGTGTAGGGGGTGTGTGTGGATGTGTGTGTGTGCAATGAGGGAGGGACAGAGTGTATGTGTGTGCGCATGTGTGCAATTTAGGTGTGTGTGTGGATATATGGTGTGGGTGGGTATGGGGTTTGTGGGGGCCTGTGAGTGTGTGGGGGTGGCTGGGGAGAGTTGTGGCATGTGTGAAGGGGGATGGTGGCTGGGGTATGTGAGGGGGTGTGGGTGCAGGGGTCTGCATGTAAGGCAGTATGAGGGGGGATGTGGGTGCATGTGCATGATGGAGTGTGCATGTGGGACTCACCCTACACACACAGACTCTCTCTCCCCCACTGCACACATAAACACACACTCTCTGTCCCTCCTTCATTCCACATACACACACTGCCCCTCCCTCATTGTACACACATACACACAAACTGTCCCTCCCTCACTGCACACATGCACACTCCGTCCCTCTATTACACACACACACACACACACACACACACACATATATATATATACTCTGGCGATGCAGCCCCATGGTTCCAGGCCATACACAAACTGCCCTGCTAGGCAGAGGCTTCCAGCTGGGGACTAGGGAGGTGAGGGGGAGGGGGAGCTGCAAGGGTGGGGGCGTGCCAGTCTTGCTGATGTGGCTGCTGGATTCTGCCACCAGCTTGCCTTGGGTCCTACTGCCACTTGCTCCTGTCATCTTTGACAGGCAGCCCCATTGGCAGATAAATATAAATTTTCTAAATTTTAGGGGGCCCGCGGGCCGGATAGAATTGCCTGGTGGGCCGGATCTGGCCTGCAGGCTGTATTTTGCCCACCCCAAGCTAAGGGTTTGGTATGTGGGTAGGGCTTGAGTTCAAGGCAACATTTGCATTAGAACCTTTATAAACTCGCCTAAAGAGCATCTTCTGAGAGAAGGGTCATCCCTGTACTCAGGGACAGATTTGGTCCCCTCTGTTGCCTCCCTTGCAAGCCTGAGGGTACTGGATTCCCTAGGCTCCTTTAAATTAGGAGCTATTCTGTGGAGGGGACAATGGTCACTTGTTGACCCTTTAGCCTGCCCAGGGCCATACTTCCAGAAGGGTCAGCACAGAACAGGACTCTCAACACTCGTCAGATAAGGGTGAGATTTTTTGTTCACCTTCTGATTCTGACTTTTCTTGCCCTTATTCCATACACAGTCTTTTGAGCAGCAGACTGAACTAAGCACCTCTCTTTCTGCTACATTTTTCTTCAAGTTTGCAAATTCTTGCTTCTGAGCTTCCAATCTGTACCATCAACACAATTGCAATGTGCCTCAAAAAAGAGCTCATCTTTACTTGGAGATGATGAAACTAAGGCAAAAAGAACTAGAGACAGAATTTTTGGTGCTCAACCCTCTCAATGTGCACCCAAGGTGCTGAGCCCCCTTGAAAACCTGGCTAGAAGTGAGCTGCCAAAATACAGCATCCCTGTTAGAGCTGTCAGCAACTAACAGGCCTGCTTTAATCACACAACTATCTAGTGCTCCTGTTGGAGGCCCCATAACTGTAGTGACCATCAGGCATGAATGAGAAGAAATAAACAGCACGTTTTATTGTGGAGCAGCAGGCAAAACTCTGCAAACCCTTTTTGTGTCTTAACAGCTATGAACAAACTGAGGGACCATCTCCCAATTCCGGATGTGGCCTTTAGAAGTTTTTGGCAGCACAAAGTAAAAGCAAACAGATGTCCCTGCCTCCTGTTGTGCTATGGCCATGATAGGTGGTACTGATAAACTGAGTTGCTTTATTGCAGTTGATGTCTGTTTATTTATGTTGGCAGAGCACAGGCAGCCTGAAGTTGCCTATGTTCTCCAGCTATCCCAGGCAAGGGCTCCACAAGCTTGAGAAACCCAGTCTTGTGTACCCTGGAGATTGCTGGGCAGGATCAGGTCCCTCAAGCCTTGGGAGTGCCTGTCTTGCCTTCCCCACTTATCCAGAAACATCTCCAGGGCATGTCTAAGTAAGCAGGCAAGTTTGGGTTTCACTCCAACATGGGGCATGTGTCTTCAAATGGAGGCTCCCCACTTCTAGACATGTGCCCCTGTTGGAGCACAGCAGTGATAGGTGCACCAGGAAAATCCCTTTGGATCCCTCTGGACCTCCAGTAGGGGGTCCCCCCTCTGCATTTGCAGCCTGTGCTCTGCACTGGTGCAACATAAGCTGTAAGTGCAGAGTGGGGAACCCCTATGGGAGTTACCACCCTCTGCACTTGCAGACATGGGCCAGGGAAATCCCCTGAAGATGGATTCACCTAGCATGTGTGAGCAAGGATGGGGGAACTCCCACCTCGAAGGCATGCTCTGAAGAAATGCCCTATAGGGGAGTCCCCTGCCTCCCACTATGGGGGCATGTCTGCAAGGGAGAGGTTTCCCCACACTTGCAAATGCACCTCAAGTCAAGGAACAGCACCTGGTGACATCTGTTGACATGTGGTATGCCCTTACAGCAATCAGCTGTGCCACAACACATGGCATAGCTCATCAAATGCCACAGGTGGAATTAGTTTCCAACCTTGCTGCACACTTGCTTGTAAGCTCTCTCCTTTAGCAGTTTTCTAGCCAATGGAAAATTTCTCTCTTTGACATGGCTTTTTCTGACCACATTATTTCATGCCATGGATGACCCATGGATGGCACGTTTAGTTCTGCAGCCTTCACAGTTCCTGCTTCCCTGAAATTTGGATAGACTTTTCTAGGGACAGGTCTTCCTCTTGTAATAATATTTCTTGTAACGCAACGTCTGTAATGACACATATAATCCTATCTCTAATCAGAGATAGAGTCAAGTTCCCAAAAGTACAGTTCTTACTTAGCCTCTTTAGTTCAGTAACTTACCGATCTATTCTTTCTCCTGATGTTTGTTTGCACATAAAAACAAAACAAAACTTGTGTCTCTCAAGGGTCTCAAAACATTGGCAAGCAATACTCTTAAAATCTGGACAGTATTGCAGTTAACTGTGAATGTTACCAGTCTTTGAAGGTAAAGATGTAGTAAATAGTCAGGGCTTCCTCCCCAGCAATATGTGGGAAGACTAAATATTTGACTTGCATCTTTTTTTTTTCTACTCCTTTGGTTGCTAGATACCATTCAAACTTTTGTCTAAATACCTTCCAGTTCTCTGCTATATTGCCTAACAGAAGGGCAGATGGAAGTTGCAACACTTCCATGATTAACTGTCCTTCTATTTAGAGTATTACTGTGCAAGAAGATCACTCAGAGTCCTTTGTCCTCCCATGTGGCTGTGTGGCTTTACTTGCTCTGTTTCCAACTTCTTTTTCAGTTTGGTACTCAAATTCTTTCAAGTTTTCTCGTTCTCCACTCTGACACTATGTATTGATCACTAGGCCTGTGCGAATAGGGAAGTATTCAATTCAGATTTGGCTGATTCAGAGGACAGTGACTCAATTTGGCAATTCAGATCACTGTCCCAAATCAATTAGGCCAAATCAGGTTCGGAAGATTCAGTCATAGACTA